ATTTATGTGCAGGAAGTTGACTGGGGAAACCTCAACAATGAGATGGTCCTTCAAAGTTGTCCCAAATTAATTCATGGGCATCTACCAGTCATCTAAGTGGAACCCAAAGACAATTCCTGCAAAGTATCTTAGCTGTGAGTGGTCCACAGTCACTACTGCCAGCAGCATATTTTGGTCTTCAAGCATGCATCTACTATAGTAATCAAAAATATGTTTTCCTTAAAACAGATTTTGGGAGGCTAGCCTTTCATAAAATCTTAAATAATTCACAGATGCTAGAAGTTATCAATTCTGCTGATGGTTTGGTAAAACTAGACTTGAAAAGCACCTGGAACATGAGTAGACTGGGGGTAAAAGTGAGGGTGCACAGATGCTTGACTCCTAAATCAAGTACTTTAACAGCTTTATAAGTACTCTACCCCCACCACCCAAAATAATGTTGATAATTTATATTTTTTAGAACTTTTTAAATTTTATAAAAGTTTTCAGATTTATTTGCATAAAATAATTTAAGACCCTTACATAGTGAATATTTTTCAATAAACTGTATTTAACCATGCTTCCTTTTTTATTCTCAAATTTTTGTGTACCTTCCTTCTTTCTCAGTCTTACCAGATACTTGTTAACTTCATTAACCTTTTCAAACTGTTGTTTGACTTTGCAGATCATCTCTATTATTTGTTTTCGGCTTCATTAATGTTTGCACTTATCTTTGTCTCTGCTTCCCACCTTCTTTGGGTTGACTCCGTTCTTTGTCTAGTTCAAGTTCTGGTTCTTTACTTTTCCTGTTGGTTTACTTTTTGTTTTATTGTTATTACTATTAATGAGACAATATTGAGTTACATGAATATTGGTATTTTGGAAATCACTCATAGTTCACCACAACAGTGCATTGTACTCCCTCACTCTTTGTTCTCCATCCTTCCTCACCCTACCTACTTCAGTTTTATAGTTGCTTCAGTTTTATAGTCAGCTTTCAAGGGTTAGTTTTTAATGTTGTCCTTATCTTACCCTTTGTTTGGTTTCTCTATATTCCATACATAAGTGACACCATTCCTATTTGTCTTTCTCCTCCGACTTATTTCACTTAGCATTATCCCTCCTAGTTCCACCCATGTTGCCGAAAACAACATAGGTTTATCTTTTTGCTTTGGTGAGTAATATTCCATTGTGTATATACACCACATCTTCTTGATCCACTCATTTGTTTTGGGGCACTGAGGTTGTTTCCAGAGCTTGATTATTATAAACAGTGCTGCAATAAACACAGCAGTGCAAGTTTCATTTCAAATTAGTGTTTTTAGTTTTTCGGGTAGATGCCTAGGAGTGCAATTATGGCCAATTCACTTCTAATATTTTGAGAAAACTCCATACATCTTTCCATAGGGGCTGGGCCAGTTTAAATTCCCACCAACAGTATAGGAGGACTCCTTTTTTTCCTTATTCTTGCCAGCACTTATTGTTTTTGATCTTTTTTTATATGGGTCATTCTCACAGGTATGAAGTGGTATTTCATTGTGGTCTTGATTTGCATTTCCCTTGTAGTAAGTGATGATCAACATTTTTTCACTTGACCTATTTGCATGTTCTCTTTGGAGAAGTGCCTGTCTAGATTTTCTGTGCATTTTTTGGTTGCTTTGTTTTTTTGTTACATTGTATGACTTTTTTTTATATCTTTGATATCAGCCCCTTGTCAGATGTATGGTAAGAAAATATTTTCTCCCATTGAACAGACATTTCTTTAAAGAAGATATGCAAATAGCCAGTAAGCACATGAAAAGATGTTCAACATTACTCATTAGGGAAATGTAAATAAAAAGCACAATGAGATATCACTTTACTCCTATTATGATATTAAGAGCAATAGCAGATGACCAGAACAAATGCTTGTGAGGATGTAAGATTGGAACCCACATGCACAGCTGATGAGAATGTGAAATGATGCAACCATTTTGGAAAACAGTCTAGCAGTTCCTCAAGAAGTTACAAATAGAGTTACGATGTGACCCAGCTTATTCTGAAGAGAAATGAAAACATGTCCACATAAAAACTTGTACATAAATATTCATAGCCGCCTCATCACAGAGTAAAAAATTATCCAAATGCCCATCAAGTGATGAACAAGGAAAAATGTGGTATGTCCATACAATGTACTATACATCAGTCATAAAAAATGAATGTAGTAATAGTATAAAATCTGAAATCATAAATCATGTTATGCTAATGGAAGAAGTCAGTCACTAAAGACTACATAGTTATTATTCTATTTATATTAAATTTCCAGTCTAGGTAAATTTATGGAAACAGCATGTGCATTAGTGGTTGCCAGAGGCAAAGAAGGGGGAAAGGGAGGAAGAACAAACAAAACATAAAAAAAAAGTCATCGACAGCAACAAAATAGTAGGGGAATGAAATACCTCAATTTCATTAGTGGACATTTAAACCACACAAAATCAGAAGGAAACAACAGCTTTCACTGAGGAATTTGACCAGACTGACTTAGTAGATATTTACAGGACACTGAACCTTAAAAAGCTGAACTCATT